AAAATGTTTCCTTGTATTGTTGTGGTGTGCTGGTAATAGAGTGTGTGAATAATACCTATGCCTTGAGGAATTATTTCTGCAAGTGGAATAATGATTATGATAATGATCATCTGGGTGCCATTAGCTCATTCCTTTTTTAAAAAATGTTCCAAGCTCTGCAGTGTGGGCAACACAATCCCTCACTGGAGGCTTCCACAGAAAACTGAAGTGTGATGCTAGGCAACAGCTGAATATTACTTTGACTTAAGTTCTAATTGCATTTATATTTGCTTGTCGTGGGCACAGCAGGGAACGCAGGGAGAGCCTCTAGCAGCAAAGGGGAAGAGGAAAAAAGCCCAGTACATCACTGAAGCAGTAGGACCATATGGGCTGCTTCTAAAATATGGATGCAAATTGCATGGCCTGGTCTTCGCTGGAGGTCTCTTGACACTCAGTGTTGACTTTGTCATTGGAAGGATGAATTAGAGAGGGAAAGATGAAATTATTCATGTATTGCCAGGTCATTGTTTTCTTCCCAGTTTTCAGCCAAGGCAGGAGATCTGGAAGAAGAGTATAAGTCAATTTCCAGGAGAGGATTAGACCAAGGGAGTTTAGTTCAGCCCTCCCTCCTTTTATAAGAATGTATATAATATACTGATAGCTTACTGTTCCCGGTGCACTAGCCATTTTATTCAAATACATTGCCGCTGCTTGTTTCAAGCCTTCCCCGCTTGGCTTAGAATGGGCCTTCTCCCCCCAACCCTTAGTTGAATAGCAGTGTATTCTAGGAGCACTTCCCTAAGTCTCTCCAATGTCAGTCACTGGAAACTTGACAATCCTCAAATGCAGGTTGGATGCAATGTGAAGATATAAACTACTGTATGTTGCAAACTCTTGGCTGAAATCCTGTTGCTTGGTGTAAGAAAAATGGTAACACTCAGTCCATGCCTAGCCGGCAAAGAAAGAGTCCCTGCTGCAAATCTTGGGAGCACATGCACAAACTGGTGTGGAGTTTGTGCACATGTGTCCAGAACCTGGCAGCAACATCAGCAGAGCAGTTTTGGGTATTAAAGGCTTCCACCAAATTCCAAGTCTCTGAAAGGCTTTCCCAGCTCAAAAGGGATCCCTAGGAAGCCTTGAAACCTGGAGGGTGGGATAGGAAGTCTGTGGCTTGTGGCATCATCCGTCTTAAGCATGCAGAGATATACGAAAAAGATTCTGGTGAGTGCTTGGCAAATCTGGAGAGCCCCAATTCTATTTGCACACAACTTCAGGCTTCTTCGCTTCACTTCAGAAACAAAAGCCACCACTTTGATCCAGATTCCAAATAATTTCTTGAACATAAACAAAACAGCAGCAACAACAATGGACTTTTTAATAGATGAAACCTGATGGGTGCTGTACTTTTTTATTGACTTCTTTCTAAATGACATGTAGTTCAATTGTGTGGGGTTTTTTTTAAATAAATAAAGAGTATGAAAGAAAGCACACTTCCTTCTTCCTCTCCCCAGCCATCTCTCTCTCTCTCTCTCTCTCTCTCTCTCTCTCTCTCTCTCTCTCTTTCTTCTATTTTTTGTTTGTTTGTTTTTGTTATTTAATGAACAGAAATTCATTCAGAATGCATAATGTGGTTTCCAAGTAACAAGTATAGAAAGAGCAAGATGTTCAATATCTGATCTCTCAGTAGAACACGTTAACGGGCAGAACAGCCTTGATATCACCATTGTTACTCCGGATGCCTGAAATCCTTGAGAATGCATTTGTGCAGACAGTTCTCTGTGTTCCCAGCTATAATTTACACATCACATTTATTAGGTGTCCTTTGGAGAGGGGGAGGAACATACAGAAGGGAAAAGTTGTGTGGCGTAGTTAACTTATACTCTGCTCTTAAAGGTCCAGATCACCAACCCAGCTGATTGACATGCAGCTGGAAGGGTTGGTTTGCATCAAGTTTGGATCCTGCCCCCCCCATCCACTTTTAAATGATTACAAACATGCTGCTGAATTTCAGCTTGACAGTAAGACAACAGAATCCTGATACAGTGCCTTTCATTTCTTTATTATTTTATTTTATTTTACCCTATTCTACGAGAGGTTACACTAGAAAATGACACCTGTGCTGTGTTAAGCCCAAAGGTCCCTTTTTATTTATGTTCACATTTTGGCCAGTCAGTTGCCTAAGAGAAGGCAACAAGCAGGATGTGAGTGCATCATCTTCACACTCATGTCCCCCAGCAGCAGAAGCAGAGCGTCTCCCAAGCTGAATGTTTCCTGGACAGATGGATGGGTGGATGGATGTCATTGAATCATAGAATAATTGAGTTGGAAGGGGCCTATAAGGCCATCGAGTCCAACTCCCTGCTCAGTGCAGGAATCATTATCCTATTAAAGGATTCAGAAGAAGAAGTACATCAACATGTGAGGAAGGAAGCATGCCAGCCCTTGTCCCCTCTCTCTGTTATTGTTCTATTGACATGAAAAACAAGGGGTCTGAAAAGGAAGACTTGTAGATCTGATGAGGCTCTCTCCACAATCTAGCATCCTAATTGCCCAGTGTTCCAGCTTTCATGGAGAGCCTTCCCGTGAAGTAAAGTTTATCCTCCTCCAAACCATCACTTATCACAGTGGCAGAGTGACAGTGACAGAGCTGGTCTAGAGTGCTCTTCTACTGCCGTGTTGATGTGACTTCTACATGGAATAGGTATACAGGTCCAGTCGTGCACGGGTTACATTTATCCTGGGATATAATTCTTCCAAGCACAGGGTTATGTGATGCATCTTAAGGAAGGATGCAGAGATTCTTTTGGCCAAATGACATGTGTATTCTCTGAGATTTGTTTTTCCTCCCGCAATCTGTTTTCCTCAGAGAAATTAAGTCCCTTTCATGTACCAATGGCGCATGCACACATTCAAAGCACAATGGAATGCAAGGCAGGAGTGAGTCAGAGCATGTGCTAGGTGAAAGAGAGACGTTTCTCCTCACTGAAGGGGGCTCCCTGAACGCCTGCTGGGTAGGCGGCCTAGCTTGACCCCTGGGATCTGTGGTGCACTGGGCGGTGACACACAAGTACCCTCCTGCATTTTCAAGAAGAAGTCCATGCATACAAGTCTATTTGGCAGTAAGTCCCACCGCCTTCGGTAGAGCTTGCCCTTTAGTAGACTGTGCTTTTCCCAGAAAAGTGTTAAAAAGTTAATGAGATCACTTACATTTATAAGAAATTTTAAAATTCAGAAGAAAAATATGCCTATTTAGTAGATCAGTAATTCTAAGACTCATTGCTCAAGAGATTTTTTTTACCAAACTTTTGTGAGTGTTTTTACCAGGGCGATGATGCTGTTTATAACAGCTGAGCACCTGTCATGATGGCACTTCACAGGGTCTTTCCCATTTCCCATTTTATTAGCTATTTCATTATTTGTATTGGAGTACAGAAAACAAGGCCTTTAGAAACCAGTAGCTACATACTGTACAGGGAAATATCCCACAATAACCTACAACCACACTTCGTTTTGTTGATTAGGGCATGTGCCTGCCACACTTTGCCACCAGAGGGCAGGCAAACATCAAGGTTACACCACCCAACTCTCCGTCATTTATTATTACACAAGGAAGTGACATTATAATGCAGAATTAATTTTGACTTGATACTCATCTGCTCTGCAGAGAGGCTTCAAATCCTTCTCTGAGGTCAAGAGGAGGAAGCTGACTCTAAGATACAATAGTAGTAGGGAGGAAATCTGCATTTGGAGAGGTTTTGGACCGCAGTTCCCAAAATCCCCCAGGCCAACCAGGAACTTGGGCCATACACCAACTCAGACAATAGCCCAGTATTGACAGGTTAGGCTGGCTAGTGGTCTTACAGGCTCTCAGGCATGGTTCCTAGTCTTTTCTGAGGACACTCTCTCT